TGGGGGGGTGTTCTGCAGGACACTACTTGTAATGTTGCATTGTTTTCAAAGTCCAGTACATGCAGCCTGAATAATTCCTCAGTTAGAAGTGAAAACATTGGCCTTATATTAAACAATATTGTTGCCCTTCTTTAATATTGGTACCTTCCAGTGGACTCACCACCCGCAGGAAGGTTCAGGGGGGCTGGTACGGTGCAGTGTGATTTGGGTGATGGTCATGGAGACTGCTGCCCCCACGTCCCGGTAATGGATAAGCGGCCGGAAATTGATTGACGGAAGATTCCAAAAGTACCAACATAAATTAAAATAAAATACCATTTCATCTGTGACATAAATTCAAACAAATACTCAAATAAAAATCACATTTATACCAACCCCTGCAGATAGTGAAGGTATTGCAAATGCATTTGTAAGTTGTTTACAAACCATTAAAAATACTTAAATTTCTGGCATACTTTGCCTTTAAATTAAAATTAGACAGCACCATTTAAAGGTGGGTTCCACCCTGAAAGGCCTGGGAAACACTGCTATGTTGTGATTGTTTGCAGGACTGAGATATAAGTAAATCCCTGCCTCTGCAAATAAATGAAGCTGAAAGCGATTCCCTCCTCTACTGCTGTGTTTTTACTGCCACTGTTAGAAAGTCACCCTTGAGCTCGGCCTTTACAGGATAGCAGCGTTTCTCCAGCTGTGTGAGTAGAGAATATCAGTGAGCTTATTAAGTGTGGGAGCCATGTGGACATGCACATCAGGAGAGGATGTGTTGGTGTGCATGTGCATACATACACTTATTGCGTGGTAGTCCATGAAATGTGAAGGCTTGACTTGAGTTTGATGAGTGGTTGTCTGTAATCATGTTCACTATTACTGGGTATGTCGAGTCGAGGCAGTGGTGTTTAAGCTTGGCACCTCCCAGGCTTTGTCCCATCAGGCTAATGAAACCCAATTACTTACGCTCATGTCCTTATGTTGTCCTTCATTACCCCCTCCCACCCCCCACTCTTATTGTAAAAATGTAAAGTATCACGAACAGTGGAGTGCAAGTCAAATTGAGCTGTATTTTCACTTATGCCTCTAAGGGCCTTGATATGTATGTGCCCCACTTTGTGATCCAGTGTTTGAACCTCAGTAGTGGGGGTGGTGGGGTTTTGTCCTGTGCACCACCTTACCGCTAATGGCCCCGGGGCAGGTTTCAGAGGGACTTGTCAGTCAGATGCAGAGAGAGAATCTCTTTTGTGCTTGTTCGTAGCGGCAACTGTAACAGGAAGTCGGATGGATGGGGTTGACAAAAGAGCAAAAAAGACAAGAGAGCGAGAAAGAGAGAGAGCGAGGCAGCTGCTGTGTGGTGGTGGCTGCTGCTCAGCTAAAGTTATTGATTTTTAGCCTGGAAAGGAACTTAGAAAAGCTTTAAGTACATTTGAGTTAGCAAAGACAAAATATATTATTGCAAATAAGCTTAAAGGGGGCTTCAGTTGATAGTTATTATCAAAATCATTCTGTCACATTCTTCATGTAAAAAAGTCTCTTGTGTTGTTGCATAAACCATAAATCTAATTATCAATGATTATTTCCATTACTGATTGCAGGGAAGCAAATAATGATCCAATAATTTGAGTCCGATAAGTGCAAGAACCAAATGTTTGATTATTAAATGTTTGCCATAAAAAACTAAAAAAAACTAAAGCCAAACCAACAGGGTTAAGGAATTAATAAATCTGTCAGGCTTAATGAAAACAGGACAACATAATCATTTAGTCATCAAAAAAGTAATGTCATAGTAATAAAAGGAAATTGTTGAATTTACAATGCCAATCATCGATTCTCAGTGTTGGCAGGTTAAATTGTTCAGATTTTTAGGTTTTGTCAACACATTGGCTCCTCCATTAAATTATTTTAGTCAAATATAGAGGACAACAACGAAACACAGACAAAGACATCCTTGTCTTTGTTTTAGAGTTAAAGAAAAGTGAAAAATATTTTTCTGTGATTTCCCTGTTGACATCATGAATTAATATCATTTGAGAATTAATATTTAAAAAAACCAACAACAATTTACGTATTTAAATATTAATTTACTAGCCGTGTTTTAAAAACCCATAAACTTCATTTTTCACTTCACCAGCTTTTCTAATTACATAGCTGGGTTATTGGTGGGGGGGCTGGGTCAGGGGGGATTGGGGGTGTGGGAGGGGCTGGGGGTAAAGCTACACCATTCATCATGTGTGATCCATGTGTGTGTACGTATTTATAAATGCCCTGTAAGTGCCACCCAGTGTTTTTTGTGTGTGTTTGAGAGAGGAAACGGGAAACAGAAATAAACACGAGGATAAGGATGACTTCCTGGAGTCCAGCGACGTTTTTTACCCCAGTGACTAGTTTTCTTTGTCTCCCAGAGAAAGTCAACTGCTGATTGGACAGAATGCTGTTTAATTGATCTCATGTTGTGATGGCCCCAGGGCCGTGACTTCTGTGTGCATGTGCAAGTTAGCGTTTGGAGGGCAATGAGGATGTTGCAAGGGTAGACAACATAGACAGACACACACACACACACACACACACACACACACTCACACTCACTGAGTCCCCAGCTTCCATTTCCTGAACGTCTGCGCCGCTTTCCCTAAACAGTTGTCTGTGTTACTAGTGACCTACAATCCTGTATCCAGACCAGACTGCCTGAGGACACACACACACACACACACACACAACTAGTCTGTGTAAGTGCCAAAATTAGTTCTCGACCTTCACTAACTATATAATGTATAACTGGTTAACACAGAGATACACTCATAATAACAGCAGAATTAATGGTGGTATGATATGTATGAACTAAAAAACTGGGCATTTATGATGAAAAATATGAAAAAGAAAAGTTTACAGATCACAATACAGATTGCAATTTAATCACATATTATTGCTGGAATTCTAGAAGTCTGTTTCAATAGTGTTTAGACACGTAGATTTTTTCAGTCTATGTCTAATATCTAATCTAGTGTTACAGTATATGTTGCTGTTAACCTGATTGTAAAATTTAAATAGCTGATTATGGCGTGTTCGTAACTGCATGAAGAGTAAAACAATACTGAGTACTGTTCCTTACAGGTCTGTGACTTTTCTCACTATCATTTTCTTTAGACCGAAATGCATATATTTACATAGGACCTTCACATGACGATGTCAATCATGGATTTTTACCATTCAGTGTAAACATTGTGATTGACAAAACCCAGCATTACAAGTGCTTAACAATGCAGTTCATTAAATGTAAACACATGGGCGGCCATGCAGTGCATCATGAATAAAAAAAACACTTTCTAAAGAGAAGTGTCCATCAACACAGATGCACTGAGTTGTGAAAAGATTTTTGTCATTTTTAAAATATGCTGTAAGCAAATATTTTTAGAAGCAGGTGTTTCTGATCACACTGTAAAAAGACTGAAACAACAGTCTGACCAAACTGTATTACTTAAGATAGGTGTTCCTCCCGCTTCTACGTATCCCTACTTTGAACACAGTATTTTCAAGAGATTTACTGCATTATGCCAAAACTGCCTGTAAAATACTCTAAGTGTCAGTGATCCACATCATGTGTAAAGGCCAGTACCTTGGTTCTAACTCACCGTGTGAGTTAAGAGCTTCAAGTACATTTTCATTTGCATTTCATTTGCCTCCGTGCGTTGCCTTTTCATCTTTTCTCTCCGTTGCTGGGTCGCTTTACAGACAAGCTAGAGAACGACTTGTCTCGCAGCTAAGTGCCAAGTCAGCCAACAGTGGCCAGTATTTATAGACACAAAGGCAAATCTGTTTAGTGCTGTTGTAGTGTGCGACCTTGTGATTGCAGTGACTCCCCTTTCTGCCTTATTAGAAACCTGTTTCCAGAACATTGACCTGATGACTCATCAGTACGGTGATTTTCAGGTTGATGAAATTGTGCTTTGAGGTGATGTTACGTTCTGCAGGGATAATAAAAGTTCTGCAAATAGAGCAAAAAAAA